AGCACGGACCGTGATGCCCTCCCAGCCCGCGCAGCGACGGCTCGGCACCGCTTCCAGGAAAACACCAGATGTTCAGCAAGGTCGGGAGCAAAGCAGTTATCGAGCTCTTGCAAGCAGCCTAAAGCCTTCCTGGTTTGAGCTTGTGCATAAGATTTTGGCCAGCACAGAGCTGCCTTGGGGGGCCCGCGGCCACACAGCTGGCTATGTTATTTAAGCACAGGGGAAGGTAATTCAGACATCGATAAGTATTGATCTTCACTTTCTTCCTTCTTGACCTGAGAGGCATTCTCGGATTACTTACAAAATGAGCATAATTATAGGTTATCTATTCGCCTTTAAAGAGGATCCTGCGTTTTGTTTTTCCCTCACTAAGGATAATCCCTTGGGACAGGGAGAGGAGCTGAAGTTCCTGCCCATCTTCTCCTTCAGCCCACGTGCAACAAGGAATAAAAAGAGATCGGAAAGGTCAGTTTTCAGCAAGATGATAAAGGGACTAGACAAGAAACTGTCCTTTTACTGTCACTCAGGGCTGCTCTTCGTGGCATCGAAATCCAAGAGCTAATGAAGATAGATGGGTCCGTCCATGCAGTCGGGCCTTGGATACTAATGAAAGTTATTTAATGGTCAAGAGCTGTCAGTGAGAGCACTGATTAATTAGCAGAGTTAGGAGGAGAGTGACTGATGAGAGGTCCACTCGGTCAGCAAGCGTGTCTGGAAAGAAGGTGGTGCCACCATAGGCTCCACGCTCACCTGCATTGCGGGTGGCAAAGGCAGCAACTCTTCCCCAAGGGTTCATCGGCATCTCCACCTCCTGCCAGGGATGATGCAGGATGAGCTGCTACGGAGCCCGGGAGTGCTCAGGGAGAAGCTTTCCCTGAAAAACTGGTGCTCTACCACCCCTGAGGAACCAGGTTCTCTGTTTCCCTCTGCCTCAGTTTCCTACCTGCATAAATAAGACTTTCCTCTCTCTCCCAGCAGCCCCCTTTCAAGCATAAGCTGCTTGGAGCAGGAAATCTCTCCGCGTGCTGAAAAAACTAACAAGCTTGTTCTGAGGCTTGTCTACACTGCCATAAAACAAACGCAGGAAAAAAGAGAATTAGCAAAACTGACCCCCGGGAAAGGAGAGCTGCACTTAAGATAAGCTTCCTGGGTGCCTGGAGAAGTGCAGAGAATTATGATGAAATAGCTGTATCATATATACACACATTTGTTAGAGCAAATACTGACACAGCTGGGAGACATTGACAGCTCCGCAGAATAAGACTAATTTCCAAGCACTGAAAATCATCTTGGTGGAAGGCTTAGGAGTAAAAATTATCCAGCCAATCTGACAGAGTGGTCATAATTTCGGTGTCTAATGCCTCGGTAATGCCTCAGCCACAAATTATTGTTCTGCATCAGCAGAAAGCAGAGGTCTTAATGCTTTTTGTTGACACGGCAGGCTTAATCACCGGCTATAGTGATCTGGAAAATAAAGACAGCCCCTTTGCACCATCTTTACTGCCAGGGAAGACACAGGCACAAGGCAAAGAAGAAAGGTCCTTGCCTGCTTTCCAGTTGGTTAAAGTTTCCCCCAAGCTCTAAAACACCTACTCTGCAGCTCTATAAAAGATTTTCTGAGCTCTAAAACAGGGCTAAATCCTCTAGCAGTGCAAATGAAAATGAATAAAAGAATAGAAAGTGGTATACTATTTCTTACTCTTAGGCTAGACACAGAGCAGATATCAGGTTGCCCCTTAAATGTCATCAGAGATGGTAATGCAACGAAAGGAAAAATCTTGCACCAAAATCATTCCTGACGGTTGGTTATTTTCCGCCAGTGAATTGCATGCAAAACGTGACCCAGAACCACCTCAGCTCTACGAGATCTGGTTTTTTTTTCCAGTTCATAGGCCCTGTGGAAAGAGTTTTTATTGAATGATTTTGTAAAATAAAGTGCCACCACTAGAAACGGGAGCCTTAAGTTCCAGTCCGCAACCTCAAGCAGAAATCCAGGAAGAGTCCACACGGGAGCCAAGCTCACCCAACACAGCTGGGACCTAGAGCTTCTAATATCAGCTGATTCCTAGAGAGATACACTCCCTGTTCCTCCTTCCTGGGCAATCAGCAAGTCTTTTTCCCAGGAATATGCTCCTTCCTGGCGTTGCTATTTGCAACACTGTCATCCAAATCACCACGATGTAGCAGGTAGCTCGCCCTGTGGGCTGCTCCTGGCTATCTCACCATGGGACATTAGGTCTGAGATACCAGCACAGGGCATCAAGTGCCATGAAGCAACACCCCACAAGAGCTCACTTGGCTCCCTTGGATGGTCCCAGACCACCCAGGAGCCTCTGGCATATGCAGAAGGACCACTCTGGTCCAGGGGACCAGGCAAGCCACTACCATTAACCATCCTCTTGCCCCAAATCTCTCCGCAGACAGAGCTGTCCAAGAGGGAACAGAGGCAGCTGGAATTCAAGCACAGCTCCCTTTCCACCTAGCACATTGAATTCTAGCCTGGATTTGCAGTCCAGGCTGCAAATCAGTGGCAATTTGCAGCATTTCATCTCTTCCCTTCCTACCCGGCCTGCCCAAGAAACACTTTATCCTTGCACTTTGAAATGAGCTGCTGGGTTATTTAATTTGCTACCCCCAACGGGGGAAGCACGGTGGTATTTCAGTTCCTTAAGATGCTGTGTACACTGTTTTCCCATTAATTTTTATCCTGCTTCAAACAAACGGCGCAGGCAGCATGGTCCAGTGGTCGTTCCCACTAACGGTGCGAACAAGCAAAGCAGATGAATTCAGTTTGCAAAAAGCAGCACAAACTCATTAGGTCAGGCAGAAATAGAGGTGGCAATATAAATAAGAGAGTAACCTCATCAAAAGGATGTGCTTAATGCTAACAGGGAAGAGGGGAGAAAATAAAAACAGTACTCTACACGACATGAATTTCACACATTAATTTCTTCCATGACAGACCAGACTTGAGCAAAAACATGTAAAACTTGCCAATATATCCCCAGTAGGTACACCACACTCCATCTCTGGATTTTGCACCGGTGCTTCCATCAATATTATGCTCACCCTTCTGGGAGGGACAGAAATGAAGCTAAGGAGCCACTGCATGTCCCAGTGAACTCCCACAGACAATCTGTGAGGGACAAGCACACCAAGCAACCAGCAGACTGTTTATCACACAAAGTAGTAATTAAAAAAAAAAAAAAAAAGTATCGCTCCATCTCTGCTCTCTCAGCTCTGATATGGAAGAAAAAAAATCTATAAAACTACTCCCAAAAACAGATGTGGAAAATATAAGTCACAGGTCAGCTCTTCTGGAGAGCAAAAATCGTGGGCCTGAGCATCATTCCTCTCCAGCAATCTCACCCCAATCCCCCACCATACCCTACCTGCCTCTGTCTCACAGGTATCTCCATCTCCCTAGCTCAGCACCTCCTTTTCCCCCTTCCTCTATCGTCATTGCCTTTATCTTATAACAATTAACTCCTCTTTCTTTCTCTTCCTTCCTTTCTTCCTTAGAAGTCAAGGCAGTCAGGTGAGCAGGGGCTTCAAGCCTAGTCTAACTGAGGACAAGAGAAAGGAGCCAAACTGAAACCGATGCTCCCAAGACGTGAAATGAGAAAGCTAAAGATAAGCTCAAAGACTTCCAGGACTTAAGAATACAAATAGTAGCCAAAGGCCTGTAGTAACATGGCTCAGGAGACACCCTACCTGCCACCCTACCTCTTACCTACCTATAAGGAGCATATGCCTTGGGAGTCACGATAAGATCCCCACACAAACACACCAAGCAAGTTCACAAGCCACCAGGGCAATTCTGGTTTGCTAGGCTGGAAAATCAAGGAGCCTTCCCCTTCCACCTTCTCTGTTTGGCCACACACCCTGAGCAGAACAACAGCTCAAGAGGTTGCTTATTCCCATGTCAAATACTGCTTCACCATGATCCACCACGTTGTTTCCCGTGTGCTGCATGGTTTTTACACAACAATGACTGGGAGAACAAGCTTTCGAGGAGAGGGCAGACATGACTCAGACGGTGCCCAGTCATCAAGTCCAGGCAGGAGCAGAGGATACCTTTGAGGATAATGCCAGCAACATCTTCTCATGGTCGATGGGTTTCTGAGGCCCCAGCTCTACACCCTCAATGCAAGAGGCTGCAATCCAGGGAGATCACCAGTTTCTTAGCATTTTCCTGACCTCTAGTGACAAGAAGTAGCTGTTACAGCAGCCACATCTTAATGCGCAGCGCCCAAATCCAACCTGTTCAGCAAAGAACCTCAAATTAGGACTGCAATTAAGGAAACGAGTTAATACAGGAGGGCTCCCTTGCAGCAGGCTCTAGCCTTCCCCAAGCTTCCCTGGTTACATGATTGATCCATTCCCAGAACGGACGATGGGAAGGGTGGGGAGAAGGTATTTTTGATACCTTCCCTTGGACAAACACAATCTATGGCCTTAGCACGATCTCACCCAGCATCTCTCTCAGATCACAGAGCAAAATCCCATGGACGTGGAGAATTACGCTCATGACACAAGCAGCTGGCAGTCATCACATCACTCAGTCATGTCACGGCACTTGGTTTCAAGGACAAACCAAGAGCAATGTTACCCCAGTCTAACTCTTTCCTAGAGGATTTCAAACCTGTGTTTCTCAAAACCCTGTTTCTCCACACACAGGCTGCCTCTTCCACACTCAGCTGCTCCAGACCAGACACGAGCTTTGAAAACACGTCTCCAACAAATCCCCGAGGCCCTGGAGCTGGTGGCCAAGCAGTCATTCCCCACCAGCCACAACACACAAGCATCGGTCCCACCACAGGAGAGACCTCCAAGCAAGCTCCTAGGATGCAGGGCCTGCATCCAAAGCCTCATCCTGGGGACGGCTCTGAGCGCAGGAGGCCAAGGGGTGGCTCGGGGGTGGACCTAGCCTCCTCGCCACGCCTCCCACGGCCACAACCACTACCGTCACCACCGCCACGCTCCGCGGGCACCGCCGGCACCGTGGGGGACCCGCCGCGCCATGGTAAGCGGAGCGCACAGGGAGGCGGGAGAGCGGAGGCATGCGGGGCGCCGCGGTTAATGGGTAACGCCGGGATCCAATGTCCGGGCTGCGGAAAGGCGGAAAGAAAAACAGTAATTGCACGGCCATGACGACGTTTTCATGAGCTTTCATGGAGCGGGCAGACCACTGCAGGGCTCAAACTGGGCCTGCGAGCAACAAGGGGGCCACCAGCAGCCGTGCCCACGTTGTGCCCGTTGCTAGGGGACCCGGAGGCGGCTTATCGGGCCATGGCAGCAGGGCAAGGGCCGTGGGTTTATTGCACGGAGCTGTGTTTGCTGTTCAGCCTCCCCGCACTCCTCGTTAGGGGCCTTCCGCCAACACTGCCCTGGAAATAAAAACCCTCCTGTTCAGGATAGGTGGCTCTGCAACCTTTAAAAGCAAAGCAGCTTAGATGCACATATGTATTTTATATATATATATCTTTACATATATTTATGTATTTGCACACACACACACTCCATAGTAGCCCAGGAGGCTCTGCTTGGGCAAATAACCCAGAGGATGCCTCCATCACTTGAGCACTCTCTCCATGTTACCTCCGATCCCCTTTCCAACCCCATCCACAGGCAGGGAAAGCCCACCGACTGAGCACGGAGGAGAGGGAGCAGCTGCTCCCCAACCTGCGCGCCGTGGGCTGGAACGAGGTGGAAGGGCGAGACGCCATCTACAAGGAGTTCCACTTCAAGGACTTCAATCGGGTACAAGCGGCATTGCCGAGTTCAGTGGTGGCAGGCAGTGGGGAAAACATGGCATGAGGGGGTTCCCTTTGCATGGCTCGGGCACAGAAACCCTGCTCTGCTTCTCTTGAAAGCAGATGACTGAGCAAGGTAACACCACCGGGACACCAAAGGACTCAACCAGCACATGGGTTGGTTTGAGTGGGGTTTCTTCTCTTGGGGTTTTCTTCTCAAAGAAATCCTCCAAAAACACAGCACAAACCAAGCCTTGGAGCTGCTTCACTTGCTAGCAATACAGGGAGGAAAATCATTGATAACGGGCCACAAAGGGAAAAAAATAATCCCAGGATAAGTTGTTCAAGACTAACTTTGCTTCTTAACACCCTGGACAGGCCTTCGGCTTCATGACCCGCGTGGCTCTGCAGGCAGAGAAGCTGGACCACCACCCCGAGTGGTTCAACGTGTACAATAAGGTAAGAAACATGGATGCAGGGATCACTGGGAGGGTTCTCCCGTCGCAGCTCCCATTTAGCAGGAACAGAAGAGCCTCAAGAGCAGCAGTAGGTTTTCCTCCCATGGATACCCTTCCATCTGCATATTACAGGTGGCTAGTGTCTATTGCACACAGGTCCTCTCCTCCCGTCCTGGCCAGCTCAGCTGGCAGGGCTGCCACCAGGCCATTTTTCTAAATCACTACCAGACAGGGCTGGGGAAGCTCTGGTTTGGATATAGGGGGTGCAAGTGGGGCAGAGTGAAATAACAGAAGAGTCATTACCCCCACCAGGCTCCAGATGCCACCAGGCATTGCTCCCACCCCCAGAGATGCCACCAACAAGCCTGCAGAAAGTGACAGGGCTACCTGCTCCATGGTGTGACAACTGCCTGGGACACAGAGGTAGGGGACCCACTCTCTCCCTTCCTGCCAACACTTGGTCTCTGTCTGCTTTAGGTTCACATCACCTTGAGCACCCATGAATGCGCTGGCTTGTCTGAGCGAGACATCAATTTGGCCAGTTTCATAGAGCAGGTCGCAGCATCTCTATCCTGACCGGAGAGGAACACATAAAGGCCCAATCAACCCAAACTGACATCCCACATCTCACCTAGAGCCCCTCACCATGTGCTCCAAGCTGCTTCTAGACCAGGATAGCATGGGCCATCCAACATCCCACTGCAGCCCACCGCTTCACCCCATGGAGACCCTTCTCCTGCAGTGGGAAGGCAGCCTCGACTGCTTCGCACACCTCCACGCCTGACCTTGTCCCACGCAACGTGCAATGTGTTTATTGCTGTAACCTTCTTCAAGCAGTATTAAAAGCAGGTATTGGGAGCTCACCCCCTACTGTGGCCTTTTGGTAAAGAACCAGGAAAAAGTGTTTACAATAAAGTTCCTGGTTAACCTGACATCAGCTTGGAAGGAGGCTCCTTTTTTTCAAAGTTACAGCAGCTGGTTTTTCCAAGCCAGGCACTGGCCTGGGTCTTCTCTCCTGCAGGAAAGTGGGGCCTAAAAGAAAATGAGATTATTAAAGCACTGCCTAAAAAGCCAGAGCAGATAGGGCAGAAAATGTTCATGCTAAACAAGCATAATTTCCATACTTAAGGTTAAAAACAGGCAAAGGACAGCCAGAAGGCATGAAAACAGTCCAGGTTTGGGTCAGAAGCTGATTACAGTGGGATAACATCAGCACAGAGGTTCTGGGTGGATTTGGGGCCACCAGGCCTTCACTCCAGGTGCACAGTAACTTGGCAATAACGTGCAGGTGCACTCAAAGCACACAACACACTGCTTGTGATGGGTCCCCATCCAGTCCCCAGGCATTCAATCAGAAAAAGGTTCAACAAGCCTATGTAGCTAAATGTACCATTTTTTAATGCAAACTAGGCCCTCTGTCATCATCTCTTCAGTTACTTCAGCCTACAATTTACACAGTGGCAAACCAGAGCGACACAAAATACTGCCATCAGGTGAACTCTTGTGCCAGAAGTTCATTAAAAACAGTCAGTGCCTGCCCCCTTCCCAGAAATCAGCAGAAAAGTGCAGGTGAAATCCACGGCATGAAGGAGGATATCTCTTCTTGGTCCATCCCACTGGATATTCTTCAGTCTGATACCCTGGAGCATCCAGCTCCCTTGGGAGTGCTTTGTACAGGTAACGACTTCAATGGGCTGCTTGCTAAACCAAACCAGCCAGAAATCTTGCAGGATTCTACAGCCAGGAAGTTCCCTCCAAGCCTAAAGTACCATCCAGTTTCGGAGCGTAATCCAGTCCACAAAACTCTTTTTAAGCAACTGTACAGCCTCTTAGTCTCATCATTTTCCTTAGACCACATGGCATGGTAAAGGAGATGCCAATTACATATTGAATGGCAAGGATGAACAAAACTATGCAGTGAAGTACAGTGGTCTCCTCCTGAACACAGGAAGATTACATTTACAGTAGAGAACAAATGCACATAAAACAATTCAACCCACAAATATTACTAGCAGTCGAAGCCCAGAATGGAGCACATTGACTTACAAATAACATCTTCAAACACATCCAAAAACATGAAATGGAGCACTGATCCATTAGGTCCATCTACTTCCTTGGAGGACACAAGCAGGGAAGGGTAGGGTATCTCCCCCATCCCTATCCCAACTGTTCCCCTCCATCCCTCCCTCCCCAGCCCTTCTTTTAAAGCAGAAACAGAGCATTTCCCTCGTTTTTCAAATCTCAGCTCAAAGAACGATTGCGGCAGCCAGACCCAGCAGAATCCCTCTCCAAAGCACAGCACTAAGTCGCGTTGGCAAGATGTTAACAGAATAAATCGCTCCAGCGCTAGTGCTGGCCACCCAAGCTGGTAGCACCAGCGAGAGAGCATCTGCTTTCAGGAGGGCTCCAAGACATAAATAGTGCCAGCAGTTGAATGACAGGGGATGGCCAAAAATACAATGGCACTGAAGAACAATCCTGTTAAAAAGCAAATATTTCTCCCTGCAGGCTTGGGGCCCCAAGGTTGCCCTTGGTTAAGCAACCCTCCCATACAGAGTAAGTATTGTGCAAGCGTGTGCTCCGGCTGTGTCAAGTCAATAAGGGTCAGCTGAGGGCTTGCCGAAGCTGGGAAGAAAGGCACAGGGAAGCCCTGGAGGAATAAGCCACCGCTATTACCCAACTCGATGGACTCCAGTTGGTCCTTAAGGCCACAATGGCCTCACAAGTTGTGCTGTTAAAACTCTCACATAGCAAAAATATTGGAGAAAAATAGGAAGGGTGGACACCCAAGGCTCACTCTCAAACTTGCTTCCTACCATCCATCTTCCAGCATCTCTGCAATACTGAAGGGGCTTGGCTCAATACACCTACTATCCTACCTTATGGGCAAGCATGCTTTACCTGAGGCCAGTTTGCCTTGGAGGTTATTTTCAGCCTAGTACCGTAAGGGAAGGACTGCAAACATCACAGTCTGAACCCTCCAGCTCCCCTGGCGTCCCATGGAAAGCCAAGGGAGTCTCAAGGCACAGTGGTGAATGCCCTCTTGAGAATGTGCCTTAAAAGAATCAGTGCAAAGAGCAGGCAGCAATTGCTACTTTCTATTACAAAAGTCACCTTTTCATACCAAAAGATTACGTTAGGAAAAAAGTCAACTTTGGTGCCATACATTTGTGTATGAAGTCCGTAGCCATGAGGTGCACCAGGGCTCAACTGACTCCACTACAGCATTGAGACAGTGCAAAACCTTCACGTTATGAACAGCAGAATTGCTCTTTTGCACATCCCTCCGGACCTGGAGAGCAGCAATCCAGGTGGCAAACACACATGTTCTAGGAGGGGCAGGAAAGCAAAGCAGATGCCAAGTACCTACTGCTTGGAGTACCACTGAGTACCTCCTCCTGCACCACCTGCTTGCTTCCTTTTCCTGCTGCTATTCAAGGGATTCCAGAAGAGGATTTTGCATTGTTGTTTGTTCTCTTCCCTCCAACAGATGTGAGATCGTCTGGGGGGATTTTTAGAGACTCCCTGATCACCTTTCTTTTGCCAATTCATCAACCCTGCATAACACAGATATAAGGCTCCTAGCACAGTCCATTCAATGCAGTAGCTTGGAGGAATACTCAGAAAACAAAACATACAATTTATTTTCTATCTTCTGGGAAGATCAACGCTTTGGGACACAGTGTCAGAACTAGAATCTACCCCTTGGCCAGACATCAGCTAAAATCAAGGTCTGAAGAGAAGAACGGCAAGGAACCAAGTAACATGTAGAAGAACTGAGGAATTTGGAGTTGTGGAATGACCATTCAGCTCACCATCCATAATCCTGATGCAAACAGGCAGATAGAAGAGGAGCCCTAAAATTGAAGTTGGGCATGAAAACAACACAGAGTTCCGAGCAGACACAGGTGGGGAAGGAAGGTTCCAAGCTGCCATCAGACCTGCACTTGTGGGAACTAAGACCTACTGCAATCTCGGCCCCCCGAAAAAACATTGGAGCCGCCTGGGCGCCAGCTGGAAAGGCCCCAATCATGGCACTATGGTCAGCGGTGGCTGGGAGAGCCGTTCATGTGCTTGTCACTGCAAGGAGCATCCGTGCTGTAGAGACCATCCAGGAATGCAAACCAAGCTCCGGTCTGGGATGGACTGGGCCATGCCGTAGATAGCTCCCTACGGAGAGGGGAAGAGCGCGTTACCACCACGAAAGAAACCCACATCGCTCTATGCAACCCTCTTGGCCCAAACACGCCCTTACCATGCCCGTGGTCTTGGCGTGGACGTCCTTCATGATCTCCTCGATGCTGTCTTTGACATCTTTCAAGAAGTGGTCGGCAACCCCCGGCCGCGTGTGCAGCTGCGTAATGCAGAGGTGGATGCTGGGCAGGCCAGAGAGAAGGCAGAGGGGTTAGCCATGCCAGGCACGCACCACGCTTGCCCTTATTTCCCTGCCCTTCCTCTCCAGCCAAGGCTGTCCAAGAGTGCCCACAACTTCCACCCATGCAAGGAGTATCCTTGACAAACACTCATTTTACATCAGGCTGGAGAGATCACTGAAAATGGAGAGCTACATGGTCCAAAGAGGACCATCTTGCAGATCTGGGCTACACACATCACTCCACTGGTCTGCAACAGCTCCCACCGTGACCACAAACTCACCTTGGTGGGAACTGCAGGATGTTCAGGTTCCAGCCTTTTGCTGCCAACAAATTGGATAATCGATAAATGTCAAAGGTGTCTGAGCCGATGGAGAGGACAGACACCTCAGGCTTCCCAAAAATGAAGATGCTGTCAATTTTTCTCAACCTTGAAACAGTATTAAAGAGGCAAAAAAAAAAAAAAAAAGGATCAGAGTTACAGGGATGGGAGCAGGGGTCCAGAATGGGGTCAAAGAGCGTGATCAAAAGCTGAGCCACAGACATACTCGGATTCAAGGTAGCGAGCCGTTCTGATGATCCTCTTGGTTGCCTCCACGTAGCCAGATTCACCAATGTGCATCAGGGTGGCCCAGCACGCGGCAATGATGCCGCCCGCCCGCGAGCCCGCTATGGTGGGGGAGGCAGAGATCCCCCCCTGCCAGTCGGGCGCCACAAAGTACTGGTAGCTCCTGTATGTCTTGTTGCTGTACAGCACCACGGAGGAGCCCTTGGGAGCGTAGCCGTACTGCAAGAGGAGGGCAGAGCATCACAATGCAGCAGGAGACACGTGGACTGCAACAGTCCCCGAGATCCCCTAAAATCTTGATGCTGCAGCATGTCACGGAGTTGGGAATCGCTCCCCCTAAACAAAAGCACTGCAAGAGGTTCCTCTCCCCTCCTCACCTTGTGGGTGTCTGCGGAAATGCTGGTGACACCTTTCACGCGGAAGTCAAAACGGTGCTTCAGAGGGAACCCGGCCTTCTCCATGAAGGCGATGAGAAAGCCGCCCAGGCAGGCGTCCACATGGAAGGGGATCTTGTACTCCACTGCCAGCTGTGGGCAAGCAGGAGGTTCAGGTGAGTCACACGCAACCAGGGAGAGAAATGAGCAACAGAGCCAGGCTCTAGCTCATGCATACGTACAGCTTCAGAAGCAGCTCATGACAGTTTAAGACACATCCATGCCATCTTGCATGGAGAGACCCAAGTTTTACAACAGAATAAGCCACCCCACCCTCTCACTGCATTGGGATATACCCCTTTTACCGTTATAGCTCCCAGAAGCCATGGGGTGTCCTACCTTGGCCACTTCTTCGATGGGGTCCATAATGCCATGGGGGAACTGGGGAGCAGAGCAGACCAGCATGGCTGTGTTCTTCGAAATAGCTCTCCTCATCGCCTGAAGGTTTGAAGAGAGAAGATGCTCACGCTCTGCTTACCAAGTCCCATCAAAAAAAGAGATAATCAAAAACAAGCAACTTCTTAAAAACAAGCCAACACTAAAGTGCCCATAGAAACCAAGGCCATGAGCTGCAAGCATCAGCAGACATTGACCAAGTCATTTAACTCCTCCACTTGGAAATGCTGATCACCCAGAAGACGGGAGATAGAGGGATGACTTACATCCATACCATAAGACTTTATATGCAGCAATGGACACTTATTCTTACAGCTTTTCCTTAGTTCCAGGAAAAGTAGTTTATTTCCTCTTGCCTCCTGCCAACTTAACAGCAGGCGTCTGTCGGAGTATTTCCTGTATGCCGCTTGTTCCTCCCCAAAAGCCATACCTGAACATCTACTTCCATGCTCTTGGTCAAGGGGATTTGGACAATCTTGAGCCCAAAGTAGTGCGCTGCCTTGTCAAACGCCGCATGGGCGCTCATCGGCACCAACCTAGGGAAGGAGCAGAGTCCAAGCTGCAGAAGACACAGGAATTGAGCAGTGTTTCATCTCCCATGTTGTCCCCTCAGAAGCAATTAACCAGAGAAGCAAATTTGAGGCACCACTTAAGAGATGCACATCAGGGGGAGCAAATCCCACACCAGTAGGGTAATGATGAGCACAAATTCCCATCACAGCCCCAGTCAGCCCCAGCTTTGGTCCCAGAGTTTTCAGTCTTTGAACAGAATAAATTAAAAGCCTTTGGCACTTCAAAAGTGCCTCCAAAGTGCTTCACGAGTGTCCTCCTAAAGCAGCATGCAGCTATTGCTAAAACATCTACACAGCAGAGCCGTGCTCCCCTCCTGCGCTCAGTCCTTCCAACACAGAAGAAATGCGAAGGAGCTATGAGATGAAGGAAAGCTGGGGTCTCAGCCGTCACCTCTACTCAAACTAAGCCACAAGAGCCTCCAAAGTGGAAGCATCACATACATTTCTGGACGTTTGATACCCTTCTCGTATGCCAGGTCTCGGTACGCCTTGCAGGCCATCAGGATGCTCTCTGTGCCCCCAGATGTCACCTGCGGGGAAGGAGCAAGAAAGGAAAAAGGGAGTCACCTACACGGATGTTACAGAAAAGGGAAGAAAAAATACGCTGCCACAGCGCTGCTGCTCAGAGACACTGAGAAGTTGCACAGGTTTGTGAGGACAGCAGAGGCCATCGAACAGCCCAAGGTAGACTTCTAACATTCAGTTTGAAAGGGTGTATTAAATTAAAGGGAAAAATCATCCCAAAGTGAGGAATAGCCGGCAGCGCGGCAGGCTGGCAGGGAGGACGGCCCTTGGTGACCAGGAGCACGCGCTTAGCGCGCGCACCTGACCGTGGCTCACCCGGCTCGCAGGCTGCCTGCGCCACGTACACGGAAGTAACGCGGCTGATTCAGTGCCGAGGCACCTCGGTATGGGAGCAGCGAGCCCTGGAGCACTGCCAGGAGGAGGCACAGAGCCAGCAAGATGCAAGCGCGCGGCCCGTGCTCGCTGCTAGGCTGAAGTTTGCTCTTCCGCCCGCTGCGATGCCCCACACAAGTGCAAAAAGGGCACAACAGTGACAAACACAAGCACAGAGATGAGGAACAACAACTAGGTGGAAACCACACGCTGCGTTTGTCCCTATCACAAGCCAGGCTGGAGTCACGTGCAAACGACTATCGCCACAGCCAAACCAGTCCTGCTTTTTCTGTGCTTTGGGAATCAACAGCTGTTGCAGGAGAAAAATAATGCTGGGGATGGTAAGTAGATGGCAGCAGGAACAGTTTCTTCCCAAGTATCTTGGGTGCAACACAGGCAGAAAGGCAGACAAACACCGTCATCTGCTCCTGGTTTATCTGCTTTCACAAAGGAAGAGCAAGCACAGGGCAAAAGAAATGCTCCTAAAGCCCATTTATCCATCGCCATCCCATTGCTCGCTCCCTGCAACCCTGATAATGCTGAGGCTGCAGAGTAACAGAGCAATACAAGGTACGGTCCCAGTTCCAATTTCCTTGGCAAGGCCACCTTGGTGTCCCTGCCCATGGCACACACCTTGCAGTTAGCAAAGCACATGGCTTTTTTCCACCCAGCACAGCTGCAGATAAACTCTTCAGAAACACCAGCAAGCAACATCTGCCTTCAGGGACCATCATAGGACACTGAGTTGGACAGGAAGTGCCAGGGACAGTAAAGCCAGGGGGCAAGGAGGTGACAACACACACACACACACACCCATCACTTCTCAGACACAGCTGCAATGAAATTCAGGGGAAAAAGTTCGTTTCAATTTGCAACACTGAAAGTGGAATGAACAGCAGACCCCATGCTTCCTCCCACGTGTCTCCATGAAGCACAGGCTCCTCTGGTCACCCCCGAGCCAGGAAGGGCTGCGTGAGAGGAAGGTGCAGTGGAGAGGCTTGTTTGGACATGATAATTACAGGGCTACAATTAATGTGGTGCTTCCGGCCCGCCAACTTTTCACCCCTCCCTCTGACCACTTCCCCTTTTGCTCAGCTTCTGCTCAGTCTTTCAGCTCTTCCGTATGGCAGGAAGGAGGAAGGGGCAGAGGAAAAGTGGAAGCGCCCAGAGAGCTCGTGCCAAGCTTCCCATCCTGGCCGTGACCACCATGGTCTCGTGGAGCAGCTTTTCTCTTCTTATGCAATTTGATTCAGATCTCAGCCAAAGATAACGCTTTTACAACACACGCTTTGCACAACAAGACCTGTACATGTCTCACAGGCTCCAGCGGGCAAAGGTCCCTGCACAGGTGACAGGCGTCATGCAACCACCATCACAGCAGCCCACAAGCCTTAGCTTGAGATGAGCTTCAACAGCCTCTGCCCTCCCCACAAATGATTTAACCTGCCCTCAGCAGGGCAAGTCAACAGGGGTGAGAGACACGTCGAAATACTTTCCAGATGCAGTCAAACACGTTCGGTCTCCAAACTGGAGGGTGCTCACAGGGTGTCACCTCCTGTCACATCCATGGAGTCACATCCTATATTCCCAGTCAGACACCAGCTGAGTTGAGTCTTTGATTCAGTGGCAGTTTGGTCCAAATTGCCCCATTAAACAGCCCTTCTGGCACCTCCCTACTTAACACAACCGAGCTCCCGGCCCTCAGGATAAGCCCATTCAAGGCCAGCTCACCTACCAACTCTTGGATCAACAGTGTCCTCCTGTATTGTCTGAGGCCTTTCTCGGCTTTCTCCCTCCCTAACACATTTAGGGAAGAGTCACTTCACGCCCAATCTCCAAAAAGTCCCTTCTGAGCTCTTCTTGCAAAGGAAAGTACTTCTCAGCAAGTTATTGAGCAACCAGCGTGTCAGCAATAGCTCTTGAGGACCACGGCAGCAGACAACGGCCTCGCTGTCCCATGTGCCACAAAAAAGGGGAAGGGAGAGGACTTGGCCTGAAGAACCTGATAAACCTTATCAGAGAGATAAAGCAAGAGCACAGGCACCCATGGGACACTAGAATATGGGCTACTCACAGCACCACAGGAGTTGGGGCCCCCGTTGAAGAGCGTACAGGCAATCCTCACGACCTCCGCTTCCATCTTCCTCAAACCTGGGAATATATCCGGATGGAGAGGGTTACTCCAGGCAAACTCCTCGTACACCTTCAAGAGAGAGAAAGAAAGTTAGCCTTGTTGGGGAAGCTCTGGGTTATCAGGAAAGAGGTCCAGATTTGGGAATTCACCATGGCCATCCAAAAAAACAGCCCCAAAAAATTGGATTGGGCCACAGCAAGTCCGAGGAGATGTGCACTGCTTATCCTACTAAAGGGAAATAGTAGCTGGGAAGCTACAGCTAGAGAAAATACAATATATTTGTTTTTGTAGGGCATTCGAGGCTCTGCAATTATTATATAACGAAGCAATATCACTTGTTGTACAGACGGGTTTAATGGCTTAGCTAGTTAAAAAAAGATTGTCATATCAGATATATATACACACGCTATTGTTGTTTTACACAGAGCAGGTTGGTATGCAACTCCCAGTAAGTTACTTTGCAGAACCAGTTTTCAAGGAAGACCACAGGCAGGAGAATAAAAAACAGCAGCAACCACCAAAGCAAACTCGCTACAACTGTTATAAATCTTACTTCCAAGATTTATAGGATCAAGAAAGTTAGTTTTCCCTTTCCAGCAGGGAAGTTTTTGAAGTCAGCATGTTTAAAAGCAGACCTTGGGGCTGCTGAGATTGTTCTTGCCTATCTCAAAGGGAAAAATTCCCAGCTAGGTAAACAGACCTAACAAAGACTTCACCACATAGTGATGCCAAAACACGTCACAAACTTCCTTTTGTTTTTATTTTTGCTCAAGTCAAAAGAAACTCAGTTTTGCTAAGGAAAAAGCTGCCCAAATCCCAAGCTCCAGAGCATCGCTGCAATGAGATAACTGGATATACAGTCACAGCAAACTGCTGCTAGGTCACATTTATCGGAGGGGCCTGCTGAATGTGACCTACAGCAATTTTATGCCTTTTTTTGAGAGGCTTTTGGTCACTCTGAGGACCCTTAAGGTATCTGCAGGTCCCACATTGGACCGCTTGACTTCCTTACCCTCACGAGCAGATGGGTGAGCTTCTCCTCGCCGCTGTACACGGTCCCCGAGACCTTGCCGTCCTCCCAGCGGATGTCACCTGAAAGAGGAGCGACAAAAGCACGTGGCTTGCAACCGCAGCCCTTCCCAGAGAGCTCCTAATCCCCCTTCAAGCTGCTGCCCACGCAGCCGGGATCGCATCGCAACGGGTGCATCAAGCAAAGCAGAATCAACTTTGGAGCAGGAGTGAGAAGGGGGCAATAAAAAAAGAAAGAAGGAAATTATGAGGGGAAAAAAACCCACACAGATGGAAGACAAACCCCCCAAAACACCATTTTCCATACCAGAAGTAAGAGGTATATGGGTTGGGGGTGTTTGCATCAGTGCAGCACTTTAAGTTTTGGACACTGCTTGTGTGGACTCGAGCCAGGGGAACATCATGGCTTTGTCATCCTTCAAGGGAGTTTTTGAAGGCCAAACCAGTAGGATGTTAATGAAATGAGCCAGTCCTTGGAAATTCCCTAAAATACTGTTTGGGAGTTTTTTGTTAGAAAAGATTTGGGAGTTTTATAGCAAACTCATTTTTGGTAAAAGCCAGCCATCCACGTAATTGCTCAGAAACACTCACAAACTTGCATGTAGTCTATTTCCTCCAGCATTTCCCTTCTCCTCAGCTCTCTCATTATCCACCTTAATCTCTTGGGGAAAGGAGGGAATTTCAATGTTAATACTCAAATGTAGTATTAAAATCCATGCATACCCTCCTTGGTCACTTCCAAAAGGAAACCAGGCATCTGATTGCAGGTGAGGGACACCAAGAAAGAAGTGGTTACGGTGATACCATGAGCAGGAGCGGCTGAAGCTCATTTAAGTGTCACATGTGGTGCAGGAAGCAGCAGCACCGGCTCGTGGGCCTACCTTTCGAGCTGTACTCTTTCATCTTCTCAAGCACTTCAGCCTGGCTCATGCCTTGCTCCGGCAGTGCTTTGATATAGTCCTTCTCATCTCTGAGGAAGGACAAGCTGGAGGTGATATCAACCAGGGCTTCATCAATCTTCTTTTGAATCTACAAACAAAAGGGAAGCCCTATCAGCAATGGGGTTGGCTGCCTCTCACATACCCTGTGCAGGTCCTACAAGGCCAGGAGGCCTGGATTTCTCCTCAAATCACCTTCCTACACAGACAGTCTTCTTCCAGAGCCACAAGACAACCCGGCTGGGAGGATATTATCAGCTCAGAGGACTTTTGGACATTGGAATGCCTCAAAGTCAAGGCCTCCTGGAGGCACAGTTGCCTGGCCCTGGCCCTCCTCTAAGACAGCACTTAAAGTTATCTACACATCAAGCAGAAGGACAGTCATCAGGTGTAATACAATCATTTACCAGGAAAAATAAACCAAGAAGCATGTTAGCAACTTAAGGATCAGGAAATAGGTGCGAAAAAAACGCTGACATTTGTAGGTCTAAGCTTTCACATAGAGATCATCTCCCAGACCCTGAAGCCTGCCTCGCTTTAATGATTACACCAGCACCTGATATGTCTATAATGCTAACTGGGCTATAATGCTAACTGTTGCTCCCAGAGAGCTGAGCTCCGGGCTCGTCGCGGCCAGTCATCAGATCAAAATAAATTGTCCTTCCAGGTTGCACAAGAGGCCCCGCTCTTTCATCGCTCAAGAAAGAGACATTGTTTCAGCAGAACAGCCCAAGTCCCGTCCCACTCTCCAATGAATCGAGTTATTTTCCTAAAACCCAACAAGACATCAGAGTCTCATGACGGCACTCGCTGATTAAGGGCTACAAAGCAGCAGCGTTCCCATTTTCTGAGCGACAATATTCAAAGATGAGGGAAAAAAATTATCTTTTCATCAAACCGTGTTGCAGCAGAAGATGCTCCAGACACATGTTCTTGGATCGCTCTCCAAGACAGAGCTATGCAGACCGAGGCAAGGATAATATTAAGAAAAGCAGTTAAAACACTTACAACTGTCCCAACAAAAGGTGCTTTCCGCAAGAGCTTGAAGAACTTTTTTTTCATTCGGGATTTTAAACCTGGAAGAGAAAGGTCATCAGTTGAAGTAGCACCAAAGCAGACCCCAGAGCTCAGCATTTCTGTGGGAAATTTCTGCAACAGGAGTCAGATATGCTGAACACCAGAAAACTCCTGGGGTAACTTTAAAAGCAGAAATGAAAACAGGATGACAGAGTTTGTTTTCTTTTTTTGTCACCAAAATACTTTTGCAAGTCCTCTGGGCATTTCAGCCCACCAGAGAAATCACCCCAAGCAGGGACAGGGGCTGAAAAAAAATGCAATTATCTCAAACATCCCGAGCATGAAGTGTCCTTCCAGCACCAAACCAGAAACAGTCTCCTCCTTGGGAGGAGGAATGACAGAGCCGGAGCTACCCCTATGTTTTGACCTAGCTACTTGTTCAGGAGACCCCAGCTCCTGGGTCTTTTTCTCCAGGTTGTGAGCCAGAAGAGAGCTTTATGGCAGGGAAATTGCTTAGCCAGGAGCTCAAGGGAGACAAAAAGCAGGGGAAGAGATGGAGGAACATTCCTGGCAAGCCCACCACACCCTTGGGAGGAATTGAGAAGCCGGTTGCCCAAACAAGCCTTAACCCTAATTTGGAAAAGGTGTCATTAATACTAACCAGCTGACAACAGAAGGCCTGTTTTGGTCTCCTTGCTCCCTCTTTCCCACCCCATCATAAAACCATATGAAAATCTCCCATTTCGGATACTTACTCTCGGCCTGGAAGAGGAAACCGTGCAACCAGAGCGCGGCGAGAGTGGACGCGACCGTCAGCGCAATCAGCTGCCAGGGCTCCAGCCCCTCGCACCGGGCATTCACGAAGCTCTTTGCTCTCTCCCAGCACATCTGGAGGATTTCCTTGTAGGGGGTAATGCCATCCTAGACCAAGAAAAATGCGGTGACTGATACTGAGGAAACAGTTGCGCTCAAATGACACAGACAGGGCATTGGAAACTCTTGAAAACTGCCTCCCACATGTCTACTGTCTATTAAAAAAGTGATTTTCAGCATGCAGACCACCCACTCGGCTTGATTCCTGAGCACAAGGGGCAGGAGATAGCTCTCCATTTCCAGCACAGCTTAAGAGACTAAATACTCACAGAGAAGAGCAAGGAGTGCAAGAGAGGTGTCCCCATTCACCAGGTGGCACCAAACAGGTCCATCTAGGCACCCCTTGACTAGATTTTTGAACAAGATGCAAGTAGCTTTGCAAGTTCAAGACCTAATTTTAAGATCCCAAGTAAAGGGAGGGCTGCAGAGACTAAGGCCACTAGAAGAGAAGGGGTTAAAAAAGCCCAGCAAAATCATGGTGTAACCATGAGGCTAAAGCAGAGATTAGTGTAGGGCAGGGCCAAGGACTATCAAGAGCATCAAAGCGTGTTCTCTTCAAGGCTTTAGGAAGAACAGGGTGAGGGGAAACTGGGGGGACATATGGATGAAGGCCATTTCCCTCAAGAAAAGGTCTTCAGCAATGTCAATACCCTGGAAGAAGGTTCCCTCTGGAGCTGAGAAGAGTGCAGGTAGGCACATGTTGCATGGAGTTGTATGGAATAAATATTTGGGGGTCCTGCTTTGTTACAGACAAATGCTCCCAAGTTTTATTCCATTCTTAAGCTCCTTCAGGCTCTTCCCAACCCTTCTCCCCTTTTAACATCCTGCCAAACCTGGAAGCCCAAAACATCCAAAACGGCAGAAATAAGGGTAAAAATATCAACCCGTTATAAAAGACCATGGATGAAGAAAATGCCCCAAAATTAGGCAAGAACATTTCTGCTCCTCAGGAGCAGCAACACGCAGCTCTGAGGCAGCAAATTAGCACCCGTTTCCTTGGCATGGGGCAATTTAAAGAGACGCCAGCTATTTTGCCCGCATAAACCACCGCAATTAGGAAATGTCAGAGCCCATGCCCAGTCCCACAACCCAGTGGCCACGAGGTTGATTTAAGTTTTGGATCTGGAGCGAGACCTGCCAGCTCCGGCTAACCCAAAGCACTTATTGAGTTTCATTGCATTTGCTCAGTTTTCTTAAGAGGGGGAAAACCAAGGAGGGAATGTTTAATGTGCAGAAACCAGCAGCAATGACTTCAGCTTACGGGAGCTAGAGCCTGGCCATCATCCAGTTCCAAAACTGCACTTAAGAGGATGTAAGCAGGGCCATTAATGCATTGGTTTCTTCTTTCCTGTTCTCAGCTGATGACAAGAAAATGCTGCGGTATCCAGAATAGAGCAGTGCATTTAATATTCCTTCCCACTCCCATCCCAAAAAGAAAAAAAAAAAAAAAAAGATAGTGTAAGCTGTAGGCCTCAAACCAACACATTATATCTTAGGCCTAAATCACATGAGGCCAGTAATAAACCTGGCAACGAGCTCATCACACTCATGGATGCAGACAGAAGCCCCCAACCAGTTCCACATCTTGCTATAAAATTGCACATTCCTCCCCCCAGAATCACTCCATTTCCCAGAGAGGGAGGGAAAAGAAAATAAAACCACTTATCTGTGTAGTGCCCACAGCAAGTCTTGCATGCTGTAATAGGAGGCATCAGCACAGCCCCGGACCCTTCCACTGCCTGCTCCTGGGCTAAATATTCTGTGTTTTTATAGCACTTTTCCCCAAAGTATTCAGTAAGATAAGGGGGACCTCAGCTTTCTGAATCACTAAGCCCTGGAGGATCTAGTGGTTGCATTTAAGTGCAGTCTATTTTTACAACATCCATCGAGTCAGGCTAAAGGTGATGACTGGGCCCGATTACGACACCGTATTTAGGATGTAACTCCATGCAAGACCCCAAACGCAACCCCGCATTTAGGATGCAATTCCACACAATATCCCAATTGCAACGCCGCATTTAGTACACAATTCCATGGCCTGCATCTCTGTGAAGGCATTGCAAAGATAAAGCTCCCCAAAAAGCTTCCCCTTCCCCTTGCAGCAGAGGGGATAATGCTTTTTCTTTCCCCTAAAAGGACCTTCCCCCAGCAAAAAAAACACCCAACTTCACAAGTCGCAGCAAGAAGGAGCATGTTTAGGAGTACATTAAAGAAATACAGGAGAAATACCTCCACTAAAGGATTTTCCCTTAATTCCCAGAGCACCAAGGCAGACTCGGTTATTAGAGGAAGGGCTAACTGCTATGATTAGGCCATGCAATATTCACTTGTGCCGATACTAACGCGATCGGCAAGCCAAGGAGTCAGCCGCACGGATTGGGGACACATCCCGGGGACTTTATTCCTGACGGCCGCCGGCTAGCGGAGCCGCTTGAGGGAGAGCGTCTGCAGAGGAGGAGAGGAGGGAAAAAAGAGGAGGAAAAGGGGGGAAAAGGGAGGGAACCCGCGTTTCGGCAGGAAACGGAGGTCAGTCGGCAACACGCGGCTGTTGCGAGAAGCTCCTCGAGTGGAGCCCAAGGTCAGGCGCTTCCATGGGAGCGCAGGGTGGTCCCAAACTGGGTGAGGTGGGTTGGAGCAGAATTTATAGACGTCTTTTGAACGGGATCTTCCATTTCTCTCCAGACCAGCAGGACTAGCTTGGTGAAGGGTTGATGCGAAGAGCCCAGCTTGAAAGCAGTCAAGAATGAAGGGGAAAAAAAGCACCCTTTCGCCACCCGGATTGCCGGGATCCCACCCAGCTTGGAGCAATTCCACTGATTACCACATCCTGCTGCTTTTGGCCAGGCCAGTCGAGCAGCATGGGGTTTTTACGGCATCGAGTGACATCCCCAGGAGCTGCAGAGGAAGCCTGGAGAGTAAACAAAACCTGCACAATCCATAGGGCACTAATTCCCAAGTGCAACAGAAACAGAGTGCATTTGCCCAATGACTATTTTTAAAAACTGGGATTAATCTGTATGTGTTGCAAGTTGCTTTCCACTGGCAGCAGGATACGTTCAGCCCAGCCTCAAGAGCAGCGCTGCTCCCAGACAGCTAAACCACAACCGAGACAGCCTCTAGCTCCTTCCCAGGAGCAGCTGTTTGCATTAAAATAATAATAAAAATCCCTCTCAGCTGCCCTGTACACACACAGTTCCCATATTTTTCTGCACATACACTAATCCCACGCTGGAAAACATCCTTCATGTCCTCCCCCTCTTCAATCACCCAGAGAGTTTAGAGGTTTCCATCTGACAAGCTCCCAAATCGTATCTTACTTGTCAATCTTATCCACCACCTACTTAATTGTAAAAAATGTAAATAAAAGGCAAAGAGTTGGCAAAATGCCTCACAACCCACACGCATCTCCCAGGGGTTATGGGCAATGGAAAGATGATCCCAACGCTGGCTTCTCTGGCCTTTTTTCTTTTCCCCTAATGGATCAAGCTATCATATCCAGCCAGCGTCACCTCCTCAGGAGGTCTCTGGAATGGTAGCATGTGGTTTCTCGAGTGCTTAAACAAAAAGCTCCCATATAGCAGAAAAACTCCCCAAACTGTTTGAGTCTGATCTGTTCTCCCAGCAGGTTTTGGAGCAAAACCCAGGGACCTTCACCCATGGCTCCCAGAAGGGGGGAAAAAAAGCAAATAACTGGTCCCTGAAAAGCTACATAGTTCACCAGAAGATGGGCACTGATTTCCAGAAGTTTAAAGCACCAGCGGCATCAGCACACAGCTCTTTTTCCAGGGATTTTCCCAGCAGGCTCCTTTTTCAGTGGTTCAGCGTGTTCCCGGCGTCGGCACGGAGTCACCGGCCGCTTCTCCTGGTGGGAAGCATCACTTGGCCCAGAGGTGACAACACCAGCTCCCTATAAATCCCAAGCGAGCCGCTTGCTGCCGCTGGGTGTCACGAGCCTGGTCGGTGCTCTGGGAACCAAGAGCTTGCAACAGCTGGCACAGAGGGTGAGCAACTGGCTTTTCTTTTGCTTTTCTTCCCCATTTCTTTCCCTTGCAGAACCAAGTGAGCTCATGTAGCAGAGGCCCTGAGGATGCTTGGGAGCCCCAACACCAGAGTGGCCAGAGGAGGAGGCACCCATTGCTCACCATACATCCATGCCATACCTCTATTTCCCACCCCTCAGATCCCATTTGGTGCATTAGGACATTCCCAGAGGAATAATTCTCATGCAAAAAAAAAAAAACCCCACTCTTATTTTTATCATTTAAAAATCCTGCCCAAACAGGGGGGCCATCCCACAGTGCCAGCACCTAAAGATTCCTGACGCTGGCAGGACCTAATGGAAAACACCAGGATTTACGTGGATTCTTCCCCGATGGTTGTCCTTCCCCTTTTCCGCAGGCCGGACCGACATGCCCACCTGCACAGTGAAGGATGAAGGGCCAGCCCTGAGCCCGCTCCCGCCTCACTACCAGCTTATGGAGCAGCTTCCCATGTCCCTGCCGGGCAGGCAGATGCCAATCGGGGACCCCCCCAGCAAGGCCATCCCATGGCTGCCAGCAGGTTAGCACCGTGTTGTCCCCTTGCCTTGAGGATAGGGATGAGCAGCTCCATCCTGCCAGGGTTTAACCCCTTCCCTCCCATCCAAATGGGAGGTGCCTGATGTCAAGCCAAGAGCTTTCTCTCCACCCTGCCTGCAGCTCTGCCAAAGTCCACTCTCTATGTCCCAACTGGGTGACAAAGGTCCCTGCTGACCCGGCAGGGTGACCCGGCCACGCTGACCAGCTCCACTCCGTGGTGGATCCAGGATGGGCTGGGTTAGTCTAGACACTCACTGAGGACCCAAAAATGCCATCCCTTGTGACTTCCCAGCTATGTGATCACTTCTCCTGCCCACTGCCACCTTATCTTCTCTGTGACACCATGCAGCAGGGCATCCAGCCCATCGCTGGATGTGGGAATGGGGCAACAGATAAATTCCCTTCCT